TAACACAGACAAGAATTATGGGCTAATATAAATGAAAAGAGTTAATAAGAAGCCTGAGCTAATAGGGCAATCAGTTTATGATTAATGTAGACCTTTGTGTGTTTTTTGGGGACTGAACGATTGTGGGACCCGGCGGGATAGAAACCCCTGTCAACATGAGGGGTCGAGCAAACTTACAGGGGTCAAATATCAGATATCCTGCATATCAGGTACTTATATTACAATTCATATACAGTAGCAAAATTGCAGTTATGAAGTAGCAATGAGATAATTTTATGGTTGGGGATCACCACAAAATGAGGAACTGAATTTAAGAGTCACAGCATTAGGACTGTCCACTGCTTTAGGAGGTAGAGCCTAGTAGGAAGAAGTTAGGCTATTGGAGGCATGCCCTTCAGAAGGATATTGCAACCCCTGTGCCTTCCTGTCCTTCTTTCTATTTTCATCCACCATGAGCTAAGTAGCTCTAGGCACTGTATGCTCCCACCACCAAGTACCTTCTGCTTGCCTCTGGCACAAAGGCAACAAGGGGAAGCAACATGAGCTGATGCCTCTAATAAACCTTTTTATAATTTGGTTTGCATAATGAGTTCCAGGCCATCTAGGGCTGCATAGTGAGCCCCTGTGTCAAAACAAACAAACACACAGATAGAAGTAAAAATGAGTATTCCTCGTAGAGACCTGCCATTTAATTGATTCCAGATCCAGTCAAATTGACAGGCAAAGCTAATCATCACAGGATGTAGGATCAGTTCTGAGAAACTTAACAGGCTTGCTATCTGCCAGCAACAAAGTCCTCTCAGTGTTTAGGCCACTCTCTCTAGTAAATACACTTCGGACTCTCCAGTTCAGGCTCCTGTCATCACTCTACACCTCATGTCTCATAACAAGAATGTACCTGGAAGTGCTCCTCACCCAGGGGAGTATCGATGATGAACCGCTTGTAGGCGTTGGCATCTTACATTTGAGGTGGGAGGAATCGCCAGGCTTTTCCAGCATTGCCCAAACCAAACTCCAACCTCTGCCCTACACATCAGAGCTGACACCAAAGAACCTACCAGTTGCTGGGGCCAAAGCTCTGAAAGCCATACCTGACTACCCTCTGCCTCTCACCCCACACCTCAAACCTCAGACATTCCTGGGGGAAGTACATTAAATACTAGTCAGGGTGTATGTTGCACACATGAGGAGATCAGAAAGATGATGGACGTCTTTGAGCTTGCACAGGAAGTGCTCTTACCCGCTGAACCATCTCCCCACCCAGCCTCCTCTGATAGAAATTTACAGGTTCACTCACCTGAAATGGTATCTGGTACTGAAACAAATTGGGCATATTATTTGGAATGTGACTGACATACTTTTAAAACTTGTTTTAAGATATTCTCAGCACATATGTTAAACCTTAGGACATGAAACCTTTAGAAGGTAGGACACCTCAGTTTGACTTCTCATCTAAGTACATTTGTCTGGGGATAAGCTTGAGGTTTATCAACAATAATTAATCCAAATGCTCACCTTTTCAGGGTGTGGCTGGGGTGGGAACCAGGGCGAAATACACCTTCTTCTTCACGCTTCTCTGTTTTTTGTTTGTTTGGTTTTGTTTGTTTGGTTTTTAAAGACAGGGTTTCTCTTTGTTTTTTTTTTTTTTTTTTTTTTTTTTTTTTTTTTTTTTTTTTTTTTTTTAAGACGTGTTTCTCTAAGACAGTCCCAACTGTCCTAAAACTCACTTTGTAGACCAGGCTGGCCTCGAACTCACAGAGATCCACTTGCCTTTACCTCTCGAGTGCAGGGATTAAAGGCTTGCACCAACACAAACTGGCTCTTTTCTGTTTTTTAAGGGGTTTTCCCTCCCTCAAATTCACAATTAACAATTTTTATTATTTATTTCCAGTGAGGATCCAAGCCAGAGCCCTGTGCACAATGGGCAAGCGCCGCACCCCAGGGTGTCTTCCTAGTCCCTAATAATTTTTGTTTAGCAAAAATTTAATTCTTTGAAACTGTGACAGATATACAAAAAAGCAGAAACAAACCTGGTGCCTTGACCATTTCTGGCGGGTCCTCTAAGGTGAGTCCCCAGGGAGCACGTTGAGCTCAGAATGGAAGTTTATAAGGTTTCCAGGTACCTTCTCACAATTCCACCTACTAGGAGTGAAGCCAGGACAAACTGGGCGTGCTGAGAAGTAGCTAGCAGGGCTCTGTGTGCAGGAGACCTGACAAAGAATAAACCTTAGGTTGCTGTGTCTTTCTGCTTCTCTTTCTCTCTTTCCCAACAACATCACCTCCTCTCCATTCCCCCTCTGCCTATTCTCTCCATCTGTTCCTTATGTTCTTTTGTTGGGGGGGGGGGCGGGATATTTTTCAAGACAGGGTTTCTCTGTGTAACAGTCCCGGCTGTCCTGGCACTCTCCCTGTAGACCAGACTGGCCTCGAACTCACAGTGATCAGCCTGCCTCTGCCTCCCAAGTGCTGGGATTAAAGGTGTGCGCCACCACCACCTGGCTATGCTCCTTATTCTTTAGGAGAAGTTGAACCCTGCTCAATTACATGGAATGGGGTGGAATGTGACTTATTTCTGGCCAGGGCACACTATGTTCCCCCGAATCATGGTTTTTGGTTCAGGAATGGAAATGAAAGCTAGTTCAGGACAGACTCGTTTTCTTGCTGGTCTTATACCCTGTAGAAGATGGAAGCAAGTGGAGCTTAGCAAGTCATCAGTCCTCACATCAGGTAACACCTGAGTGGTATATTTTCCCTGACCTTTAAAACTATTTGAGCCAACTATCTTAGTTAGGGTTTTTATTTCTGTGAAGAGACACCATGACCATGGTAACTGATAAGGAAAACATTTAACCAGGTGGCTTACAGTTCAGAGGTTCAGTCCCTTATCATCCATGGTGGGACATGGCAGCATGCAGGTAGACATGGTGCTGGAGAAGGAGCTGAGAGTTCTATATCTTATGCAGGCATCAGGAAGTAGTCTGAGATACTGGGTGGTATCTTGAGCATATAAGAGACCTCAAAGTCCACCTCCACAACGACACACTTCCTCTAACAAGACCACACCCACTCCCACAAAGCCACACTTATAATAATGCCACTCCCTATGAGTTTATGGGGGCCAATTACATTCACACCACCACACCAACTACTTCTTTTCCTTTCTTTTTTTTCCCTAAAGCTGTTTGAACTTGATTTTGAATCAAATGAAGTCTAATACACTAGACCTAGAGACAATAAAGAACATGAAGAAGATCTATGGAGACCTGTAACTTTATAATACCAGATTCTAACTAAAGAAACTGTGACCCTGAGCCCAGAGAAATGGAGGAGGATGGCAAGGATATACAACACCCTTAGTACTACACAAGGAAAAAGAACTCAGGTTGTCAGTGACCTTCCTTAGATCCCAAGTCTCCAGCCCTACAGAGGACATGTCAGACTTTCAGAGTAGACTAGTTCACCAGGGTCCGTATTTCAGGATCACCAGTGTCTGGTGCAGCTTGGTTTTCCCTGAGCTTACCCACTAGAAGAACCATGAATCTTCTGTCACAAGCATTCTGGTTCCTTAGCTGTTCAGATTGTCAGGATTGGCTTCGATGGGCAGTCTTCATGGCAATTTTGTCACTGGAATCAGATTGAACAGTATCATGCATTTCTGGGGACCCCAGTATTTGCAGGGGGTGTGTGCCTCAAAGGCGCTGAATACGCCCACCACTCCCTCTGTGTGCACACAGATATTCCTTTGCTCCTGTCCTCTTTTAAACCCACCCTGGGCTTATGACTGCTTGGTGGATGAGACATACTTTAGGAGAGCTGAGCCCTTCTCTATTTCTTCCTCTTGGAGCCCTGAGTTGCCCTGTTAGTGACCCAGGATGACCTCAGCTGAGGAGAGCATCCACAAAGGAAGTACTGCCAACACCGAACAAGGAGCTTTATTAAGGAACATGGAGATGCCAGGGATCTAACATCCATCCACCTTTGCGAGGTATTGGCATGAAAGACCACAAGTGAGACCAGCAGAACTGTCTAGCTAAGCATCTGATTCATGAACTCTAATAGAATTATTGTTTAATGAAGCCAAGGCTTTTGTTACACAACCAGACTTCTTCTCCTCTGGGGGCATACAGTCACTCTCAAACAGGCAGTTCCCCTTGGGCAACTGAATTACAACAGGAACCATCTCTAGGCGGGAGCACAGGTTGCCAGGGCACAGCAGTGGAATGGGAATGGCCCAGCAGGATCAGTGGCCCCTCAGCCTCGTACCCTTTGTATACGACAGGCAGTGAACAACTTGAGTAGGTCAGGGCTGGGAGGTTATGGAGGAATACCTTCAGGTAGCTACTCTGCACCAGTCCTTACTAACTCCTCATGGGTGGGTGCCAGCATTGCGTTAACTTTGTCTAGTGTCCCACAGCACTAGAGGCCTAGGCTGGCACTGCTATCCTGACAAAGGGCAGGCAATGATCATCTCAAGGCAATGCAGGAGCCAAGCAAACACAAACTGTTTGTCTTGAACAGAACATCTGCTTCTGGGAAGGGCTTTTGTCCCTCAGTGCTTGGCCCTCCCAGCTCTCCTCAGCCTCAGGCGACAGCCACCCATTTCCCAGACTTCCTTGAGGGACGTGCGTTCATTTCTTCCTTGTTAGTTCCTGAAAACCGTTTCGCCTCACATCTTTTGGGCTGATTTGACACGAGGTAGAGACAGCTATTGTCCTTCACACTATACCGTACGTCAGCAGTGTATTTTGTTTGTCAAGATGTTACTCTTGCCCATATGCCATCACGCTGACTCAAGACAAGGTGGAGTCTGATTAATCCCTGTGCCCCAAATACCAGTCAACTATTATCCCCTGACGTAAACATCATTAATCAGCCCATTTCTTCCCCGGTTTACCTGCAACCACAGTTCGCCCAGGATAGACTGTGTTAGCCTTTGAATGTGGCTTTGGTTCCTAGCTTAAACTAGGATTCTATAAAAAAAAAACAAAACAAACAAAAACTGCCTGCTGATTAATTTTTTCTGCATAGTTAGGGCAGGAACAATTAGTCAACTATTCAAGATTGGACGTTTTTTTCTCTGGCCAGATCAAGATACTGGGTAGGTTAAAAGTCTGTGAGAGCTTATCTGTGTTTCCAAGTGACTGACAGGCCAAAGAAAAGAAAAGTGTATGAAGAGGAGGAAAAAAATCAAGGGAAAAGTGGAGATAAAGGTGAACGAGATAGAGTAGCTGAAAGGCGGAGGAAGAGGAGGAGACTGGAGGCATGGAGAAGGCTAGGCGCAAAGAGAGCGGGAAGAGAGGACGGGAGGGCGGGCAGGAGCGCGCTGGGCCGGCTCATTGCTCCGCGACGCGGGGGAGAACGGCGAAGAGCCACCCCCGCCCGACGCGAAATGGTCGCGCCCAGCAGTATCAGCCAATGGGAAGCCAGGATGTTGGCGAGGCGGCGGTGAGCGGGGCGCTCGCTGGCTGGGGTGGGAGGGGGACGGCGGCCGCCGCCATGATGCTTGTTTGCTTTCAATGAAAACGAGGGGGGCGCGGAAGAGGAGGCGTCGGCGTCGGTGGCGGCGGCGTCGACGGCGCGGAGGCGAAGGCGGCGGCGGGCGCGGCGAAGAGGGCGAGGCCGGGGGCCGAGAGGGCGGCAGAGCGTAGCGGCGGCTCGTGGGGTCCGGGCGACCGAGGCGGGCGGCTGAGGAGCGGCGCCTGAGGAGGGGGAAACAAAGAGCGGCGGCTGAGGCGGCTGAGGAGCGGCGGCGGCGGCGGCGGCGGCGCTGCAGCAGCGGGCGGGACTGGTATGGTGGTTTCACAGGGCAGACCCCGCTGCACTCACCGGGAGGAGGAGGCGGCGGCAGCGGCGGAGGAAGGCGGCGCGGCTCGAGAGGTGAGCGCGGCCGGCTTAGCCGAGTCCCGCCGAGGCTCTGTTGCCTGCGCTCTCTCCCATCCCCCGGGGGGTGGGGGGGCTCGTGCCCTGGGGACCCCGAGCGCGCACTCACACACAACTTAGTAGTGCTCGGAGTGACGTCTGTCGCTCCCCCTCCTTGACACCCAGCAGTCGCGATCCCGTCGGTACTCGGGCCGCGCCCCCGCGCGGAGTCCCGGGGGCTCGGTCGGGTGCGGGGGGGGGGGAGTGTTGATTGACGGCAGGGCGACGGCGTCCGGAGGGGCGGTGGTGTGAGCCCCAGCTTCTCGGACCCCGGTTCTGGTCCCGCGCGCCCGGAGACGAGCTGGTGTCCTGGGACTCGGGACGAAGATCGGTGGCAACTTTGGTGAAGTGGCCGTGTGGGGTGGCGCTCTGGGCGGCGTGGAACTTGGCACTCCGTGGACAAACTTAGCGCCTTAGCGCTCACCGTTCTCCCCCCCCCCCGAGTGTTGGAAAGTCAGTTTAAGGCTGATATTTCTTGTTAGTGTGGAGCGGATTACGTGCCCAAAGAAGTCATTCTCAGATGTCGAGATTATCAGGACTTGTCGTACTAATTCCTCGAAGAAAATGTCCATGGTTTAACCAAAGCTAACCTAGCCTTTTCTTATTTCAGCAACAATGGTTATTTTCTTTGGTAACCCCCCCCCCCTTTGACTCTTTCTATTGACATGATCTTTAGAGGCTGTTCCGAAGCAACTGTAATCTTTGCTTTTAACTGCAAGTGACCAAATTGCGAGCGTCGTCTTGTTACCGAGTTGAAATAGTCCGAATTTGAGTTCAGGCAGACCTTTTTTTTTTTTGGGTAGACTGCCTGTGTTTGGGATTTTTCCCTTGGGAGAAGAGCGGGACTATACATTAAGCGAAAACTAATTCGCTCTGTAATAGAACCACTTCCCACACTTGCCCAGCCTTCTCCACCGTTCCACAACAGTTCTGTAGGCTAGTCAAAAGATTGTGAAAGCATAGTTTGCTGTTTGTAATTGCTTTTGAATTTGATGCTTTCTAGAATAAATTTTAGAGTTAAAATTACATGGAGCTTGTGGTCTAGTTTAATTCTCTTAAGATGCCACAAGGAAACTGAACCCTAGAAAGAATACGGTGATTCAACCAAGATATTAGTTAGGAGGATAAACATCAGGCTTTGTGTGTTCGTGAAGACATGTTAAGTGTGACATAGTTGTTAGGTATTAGTTTTTAGAGAAGGAAGTGTTTTAACCAATAGTTATTATTTAAGGTAGATAGATCATTGTGGCTGTTTCTCACTAGGTGGAAGGTGCTTGCTAACCTGGACAAAAAGTATGTGACAAAAAGACATTTTCTTGTGTGACTGGTGATATCTCCTTGGAAGTCAGTACTTGTGTAACTTAAATGTGTCTGGTTGCTGGGAATTTCCAGGGTTTTTTTGTTTTGTTTTGTTTTTGATTGAACAGAGGTTGGAGTACAGAACTTGGTTCTGACTATAAATAAATACTATACATGCAGTTTTAACTAGTTTTTTGGTTAATGTTTCGACATCCCACTGTATCCATGTTAACTTAAAAAAAAAAAAAGTCAGGACTCTAAGTCCCTGCTGTCCTGACACTTAGAAATCCTCCTGTCTGTCTCTGGAGGGCTAGGATTAAAGGTGTGCAGCTCTTTGACTAAGTTTTTCTTATAGTGCAGTCCAGGAAGGTAATACTGGAATAAATGTTTGAGGTAGCTTATAGTTGTGTTCTTTGGTCCTTGTGGTGAGAGCGCAGTATCTTCAATACATTTGCAGCCCTCTGCTATGTGCAAGATCACTGGTTAGGAAGCTCTGGCTTAAATCTTCTGTCACTTTGAGAATGCCCATATATATTCACTTATCTGGTTTGAATTTTTTGAAACCTTCTAGCTTCTGCAAAATTTTTTTTTGATTTACATTTCTCCTTAATTGTACCCATTATCAGGCTATGGATGTAGCCATGTTACATTGAAATATGATTAATAAACACTACTTGTAAGTTAAGTGCTGACTAAACCCAAGTATAATCTGACTATATATGCATAGCATATGTGCATTTGAGCAGTGGAATACAATGGAGTTTGGTGTTTGAATAAGTAATTAAATAAGAAAAGAATATTACTTGAATCTAAGATGGAGGCTGGTTCAGGCTGCCTTCATTTTACCCTCTGGGCTTTACTTTTATTTTGTCCATTTATATTTTTCTGTTAAGCTGCACATGAAGGAGTAGCATATGATGGTCCTGAGGTAGATGATGAGAATTCAGAGGTGACCGAATTCAGTTTCTGCCTTCCTGTCCTGCGTAGGAGTAATGGGTGCACAAAGTGTTTCAAGGAACAGAAGAATGATTAAACTTACTGAGGGTGTGGTGCCAGTTTAAAAAAAGTAACACTGACTAGAAGCTTGCCAGGTTGGAGATGGGGATCATTCTAAACAAAGGGAACAGTGAGTGTACTCAGGTATCAGGTTTGAGGGTAAGGCCAGTGGTAAGGTGTTACTGAACAGTGGAGTGACTTGAGAGCAGCTTTACAAAGTGCTTGCTAAGCTAAAAGTTTGTTCCTTTCTCCTGTAGCCAAGGAGGGTCTAATTTTTTTTAAGCTAGGGACAGAGTGATTTAAAGGTCACTGGGCATCAGTGTGGGGAATAGAGGCTGCAAGTAAAATTCAAATCATACTTGAAATAATACTGAATTAGTAACTAAGTGTGTTTTTTGACTTAGATGTGGTGTCTATGGCTTCTTTTGTAATGGGCTTGAAGACTGCTCAATTGCTCTACAATAAAAGGCCTTGTAAAACCAGAATGGCAGTGGTTTGGAAAACGTTAAAAAATAGTCAAAATTGTGAAAGCCCTAAAATGGTACATAGGAAACTTCAGGTTTGTCAACTTTGCTTCTTGGAGGCTCAGGCAGACTAGAGAACTTAAATGGAAACAGACAACCCTGTGCTCAACTGGAAAATCAAAACAATCAAGCTGTTGTTAGGATATAATAAGTATTTGTGAATTTTTTGGGGAAAGACAAGAGTTTTTCTTAAAATTCCTGAAAGTAGAATATTGAGACTGAAGCTTTAGAGTTTTTTTTTGGGGGGGGGGGTTTGGTTTGGTTATTCTAGAGAGTTTCCAGGCTGGCCTTGAACTCAGAGACCCACCTGCCTCTGCCTTCTGAGTGCTGGGCTTTAAGATATGTGCCACCATTGCCCAGTTATAGAACTCTTAATAAAGCTGTTGTTACAGGTTTTGTATGGAAATCACAGAACTTGGGAGGAAGTGGAATTGAGGTATAAAACCCAAAACATTAAAAAAACAGGAACATGGTAAGACTGGTATAGGAATGATAGGATAAAAGGGTAGATTATTGAATCTACTTTTAAACTAAAAGCAACTATTAATCTCATATTTTACATTGGTATGAATTTTTATATATTAATAGAAATTTAAGGTTATTTTTGTTATGCTATATATATGTTTCTACTCTTGTTTAAGGTATTGTACTCTACAGCTCATTTAAAAATATAATGTATAGTTCTAGTTCTTAAAAGCTTTATTACAAACTATTTAGGATAATTAAGAAATGCAGGTTAGCAGTTAGTCATCAAATTTGTAGTCATGTTAGATATGTTTTTAAGGTCAAACATATTTTAGATAGGCAGGTGGTCTTTAAATTCTTGAGAGACCTACAGAATATGACATTTAAGATTTTTTTTAATAACAAGGCTTTTTATAACAGTGAGACATGTCTGTTTCTGATAGCACCAGTCCACTTTAAAAAAGAAACCTCTATATGGAGTTTGCTTTCATTTGTGGCAAAGTTAGCCACCGGGCAAAGAAACTGCACTTGCCTAGACTACTGACAGTATGCTGTCCAAATTTGGACAAACAGGCAACTGCCATACTTTGCTATGACAAGGTGAGACAGTTCTTCAAAATTCCTGCATCATAGAAGAGTCTGTCAGATATTTTAGGCTTGCAGGCTGAAGATGGGTACCCCAGCGTTGCAGAGGAACCCTGGGGTGACTGTTCAGGTAGCCAAATGTCTCTTTTGATTCTTAGTTTTAGAAGTTGCTTGCTCTGCACTTCCTCTTTACCCAGGTAATATTTATTCTTCTTAGATCTTTGATGGGGTTGAAGACTGGATAGTTATAGTTACAGGTTTCCTTAGTCATAATAGAAAGTAATAAATTAGGTACAAATTTTGGACTCATCAAGAGAGGATAGCCTAATGGAATAGTTTCTCTGAATTTGCAAAATACAAATGGACTGGACATTATGAATGTAATTCTTACATGATGATTGTTACTGTATATAGTTTTACTGTGTTAGAATTAAAACCCTTTCCATTTTATTTAGACAAAAGGGAAATATTGCAGAATATTTGTTTACACTCTGTGAAGATTGTGTCATTGTGATTAGTTTAATAAAGAGCTAAATGACCAATAGCTAGACAGGAGAAAATAGGCAGAGAGAGGAACTCAGGATGAATCTAGACTCAGGGAGAGACACCAGCAAGACCCTGAAGAAGTTGGACATACAGTACAGAGTAGAAGTAACCAAGCCATAAAGCACAACATAGATTAATAAAAGCAGGTTAACTTAAGTTATAAGAGCTAGTTGGGGAAAAGCCTAAGCTAAACTGAGCTTTCATAATAAGTCTCCGTGTTGTTGCTGGTGGCCCAAAGGAAAGTCGGACTACAATGGTAGCTTTTTTTTCATGTTAAATGATTAAGAACTAGATAAATATTATAATAACTGGTATTTAAAAGCCACCTGGTTTGTTTGAGTGGCTGTACATCCACAGAATTGCTGCTTGTAAGTTACTCTGAATTGCTAGGAGAGTTACCTAAAGCCTGAAAAGCTGTGACACCAGAAAGAATAGGTGTGGTATAAACACAGGGAGGAGCCGACTTGCTAGTTAGTCTTGCATATTTTTTACAGCTCAGTTTTACCTGGGGCAGTTTTCAGTCTTTGTCTAGTGGGGTTTTTTTTTTTTTGTTTTTATTCAACAGATAAAATAGCACATAAACAAGCGAGAAATTTGCAGTATGCTCAGATTGTTCAGTATTAAGTCAGTCATGTTGGAATAAATTCACATTTCTCCAAATAAGTGTTAAATATTTGAAAGTAGTATTATTCATTTCAAAGTGGGTTTTTACTAGTGCAGAGAGAAAGAAAAATGAAAATAAATGTATGAGGTTATATGATAATTAAAACAGTTTGTGTGTCCTTAGGAAGACACATATCTAATTTTGCCTGGGAACTTGGAAGGAGTTACTTCAGAGATCTTTGGGCTGCAGTTAGAAGATGAGTAAGGGTGATCAGGTTGAATAGGGTATTTCAGAGAAAGCATCAGCGTGTCCACAACTTGGACTATGCAGCATAGGTTGCCAGAATAAGAGCTAGGAGTAGAAGCCAGTAACAGCCTAGGCTGCTTTTCTTAGTGTTAGAACATCTTCCTGTATATGGTGGGAACCCACTAATTTGGGGTGGAGATATGTTGCGTGTGACATACTTAGGTAGTAGGTAGTAAAAATAGGGAGATTGGATGAAAGGGGTCAGGATATTGGGATTAGAGAGTTCATTTAGGTCTTAATGAGAGGA